ATCCATACAAACACACACTACAGCCCTAGTAACCCCCAGACGCCTACTACAGCCCCTACCACACACACTGCAACACAACCAGCTGTCTCAACACACATACTACACTGCAAACAGACTCATTCACACACTCAAATCCACCAGAAGCCTCACTGTATGCACACAATCCCACAAACAGCATCCCCACACATGGAAAACAACATACAGCCTCCCTAGGGACAGTTATCACAAGCAGCATTCCTACCATTGCAATACTACATACAGCCTCCTTACACAAACACTCACACACACACACCATAATTACAACCATCTATATAGCACAAACATATTCTGTAGCGCAGTACAATAGGTAAAAGGCAAAACATTTTACACAACACGTTGACATACAGGAACACATTACAAGCAGCATCCCACACACTGAACTCCACAAACATTTGCAGGCTACTTGTATGGACCTGCATGATTGAAAACAAATGTGGGGGATGATGCTTGTGATGTCACCAGCAAACACAGGGGAAAAAAACTTTGCACCAGAAGGGGGCCCTTGGTCTCCTATTGCCCGAGGGCCCTGTGATTTGTCAGTCCGCCCCTGGGTCAGACAGTGTTTTAAAAACCCATAGATTATTTTCCATGATCTGCCTTGCTTCTCTGTAGGGAGTGAAGCAGGGAAGACCATAGAGATTAACTGTCAGTTTTCAAACCCAATGTGTATGTGGCTGAAGGATCCTGTCATATACTAAACGTAGGGATGAGTTTTTCTAATTTTTGTATGTAGTCCTTTAAGTGTAGAGAACAGAGTTCCCGGCACACACAGGATATCTAAAATGCAGACTTTACTGAAGTGCAATGGCAATGTTTTGGCTTACACAAGAGCATATCTCAAGTTGTCCTTTAAGTGTGAATTGTTCGGAATTCAAAGTGAATTTCAAATTTAAGGCATGACAGCAAAACTGAAAATATATCTTAGATTGACAAAGACAGCTGGCACTTAAACTGAATGGAGAGCAATAGTTCTATCCAACATTCCACTATTCTTATCAGTGTGGCAAGATCATATGAAACATATGATAATTTACTAAACCAAGACGTGACCAGACAATTTCAACATTTAGTAGCACAAAGTAGCCATAAAGCAGCCACAATTTTAATAAAAAGCATTTTAGCTATTGCTTCAATGTGCCTATTTTGGCCTAGAATGTGAATGACTTATTCAGATCCAAACTATTTTTGGTTTATTCAATATTTCCTGTTACTGTTAAATTCTATTTCCAGCTATAACAGTCAGCAATATCACTTTGACTTAACCCCCATAAATGACACAAATGAATATTGTTTTTGCAATAATTACATTTTCTGTCTTATAGGATGTTTGTGTAAAAGCCTACTTGGCCCTTCGACATCACTCAAACCTCATGATTATCCTGTTTTCCATGATGCTGATGACCGGCATGCCTCAACTAACAAGTAAAGAGGACATTGAATACATTCGAGACTCACTGACTATTGGAAAAAATGAAGAGAGTGCGAAAAAACATTTTCTTGATCAAATAGAGGTTTGCAGGGATAAAGGCTGGACAGTGCAATTTAACTGGTTCCTTCACCTTGTGCTTGGCATTAAACAAGGAGTGGAAAAACACTCTGCCTAAAGCAGATTGGCACAATTACCAACACAAATGAGATCTAAAACATACAGAACGACTTTCCATTTTACCTATAACTCTTTGTTACAGTAACTTATTTGTAAAATGTTGTATTGTTTTCTCAAGAAAAAGAGCAAGAAGGTAAAACTTTTTCATGACTGTTGATACGGCAAACAGATTTGGTAAGCTGTCTAGAGTTAAATGCGAGTGGGCAAATATACAGCACATGGTTTGAAACATATTGCAAACCTATCTGGTATTAATATGGTTAATATATTATCCAGTTGAAACCTATACGTGGAATGGACACCTGCTGTATAATCATCTAGTTGGCTAAATATTGTGTATGTGGTAGTCGATAGCAGTGGGAATGGTGTAGACAACATACCATGCTGTAGGTGGCCCTGCTCAATTATGGTGAAATCTGGGGATTTCTTCAATAAACAGTAAACAGTGATGAATTTATCACCAACCACAAATTTAGGCCACAAACATGCTAAAATTAGCTAGAATGGGTAACCTTTTCAACTGACCTATTTCAGACACTTTTTGGCAATGTTGTTTATTTAAGGCAATTCACAGCAGCATAAGGTATGTGCTTGAAAAGAATTAACTTTTTAAAAGAATTGTCACTTTCGATTCTTCTAACACCACTGACACCCAAGGGGTTAAAACAAAAGAACAAAATGTTCATTTCCTGAACACTTGCTCTTGTGCGTCATGCTCCTCAACCCTTAATAATCTACTTTTGTTTAAAAGATGACTCCAATTTTTACAGTGCGCATTACCTATGTCTGTGTTTCATCTGGTGTTCAAATACTAAATCATAGCAGATATTTCCACCTGCTTCGCTACTTTCTAAGTGCCTCCTTTTATTGTTAGAACAAAATGTCACATGCATTTGATTTTTCTTATACTAACATCCCACTTGAATGTAAAATATTCCATTGATGAAAATAATTGCCTGCCCCTTCTTCTAGCAACCTGCTTTATACCTAGTGCAAAGCTTGATGGGTAATAAAATGCAGGTGAACATACTGTATAATTATTATCTACTCCATAAAATCTATGTTGTATTTTAATGTTTCGCAACCCTTAATTTATTCAGATTGTATTTTTTAATTACATTATAAAATAAAATATTGTAATCGTTGGATGATTTTTATTTCTTTTTCGTTTCAATACATTCACCACAATTGTAATATGAATGGAATCTACCATTGAATGCATACTATTTAAAAAATGTGACATGATAATTTTTAATAAAGTTAGGAATGGGGCATGAAGTAAAAAGAGTCAGGTTAATTGAGCACACACACACGCACACTCTTTCTCTCTCTTTTAAACCAGGCCTAATTACTGATATACCTGGAAGCCAGTCTAAAGGATTTCTGATAGGAGCAAGTACATGGTGATAGATATGACCCTCAACCTACCGACTGACCTGCAGGGCCGGTGCTAGGATTTTTGACTACACAGGCGAAGATGCATTTTGACGCCCCCCCCAAAAAAATAAACAATGCATCTTCACCTCTGTGTCTCGTAGCCCCCTTTTGAATTTCTTACCCCCATTAGTGTTGCATATCCCTTTAGTGTGTCTCCTACAACCCCTCTTATGTATTTCTTACTTCCCCGCCAGCCCCTATCTATCTCTCTTTTTCTCCCACATAGACATAGATACAGGCAAAAATACATACATGCACAAATACACAAACATACAGACACACAACCATACAAGCACACAGACATAATTTTTCAGGCACACAGTCACAAAGATATACAGACACACAGTCATAAAAGGCACACAAACAAACACAGTCATACAATCTACACATATAGGTACATTGTCGTACAAACACAGACATACATTCATAAAGAAACAGGCACTCACAGAAATACATACACAGACATAAAGAAACAGAGATAGGCATACAGAGACATACATACACAGACAAACAAAGAACCCTGCACACTGATACCGTGTAAATGCTCCGGCCATCAACAGTGGTGGATGCTCCGTGTCAGGCAGACATTGCTGGATCCACCAGTAAAGTCTTCAAAAGGAATAAACGCAGGCAACACTCCAATAGTAAGGATGGTATATTTATTGGTAGGTGAACCACCCCATAGAAAGTGTGATGTTTCAAATCATGCAATAAGGCTCTGCTGAGCCGAAACGACGCACTTTCTTTGGGGTGGTTCACCTATCAATAAATATACCATCCGTACTATTGGAGTGTTGCCTGCGTTTATTCCTTTTGAATACATTTACACAGTCATACAGAGACATACATACTGTATGTCTCTGTATGACGGTCTGTGTATGTACACAGAATGGCTAAAAGATAGATCCCCATCTGTCGTGCAACTTCAACAATGCTTTGAAAGCTAGGGATCTACCGATTCCCCATGCTTGCAGGATTGTATTTAGCATGGAGCAGTATTTGTGTGTTTGACTGTAAGCATGTGTTTGTATGGAGTATGTTTGTATGATTGTAGCGGTGTGTTTATATGTAGTGTTTGCATTTGAATGCAAGCATGCATTTATGTGTAGTGTTGGTTTTTGAACGCAGGTGTGTGTTTATATATAATTTTGGTGTCTGATACATGAGTGGTGTGTTTGTATGTAGTGTTGACGTTTGCATGCAGGTGTTTATTTGTGTGTAGTGTTGTGTTTGAATGCTGAGATATATGCACATATACACATACACTGCCACACATGCACACACTGTGATACACATACACAAAGATACACACACTGACACATGCAGATATACATATACACAAACTGATACCCATTCAGATAGACACACAGGTACACACAAACACTGACAGACATACAGATAAACACACAGTGACATACAGACACACATACACAATGATAGGGAAGAAGACACACAAAGACACACTAACAGACAGACAGACACACACACACAGACATTTAGATACACACAGACACATGGACAGAGACATATACATACACACACACACTGACAGACATGGATACACACACACACACACTGACAGACATAGATACACACACACTGACAGACATACACACACACACACTGACAGAGATAGATACACACACACACTGACAGACATACACACACACACTGACAGATACACACTGACAGACATAGATACACACTGACAGACACACTGACAGACATACACACACACACACTGACAGACATAGATACACACACACACACACTGACAGACATAGATACACACACACACACTGACAGACATAGATACACACAGACACACTGACAGACATAGATACACACAGACACACTGACAGACATAGATACACACACACTGACAGACATACACACACACACACACTGACAGAGATAGACACACACACACACTGACAGACATACACACACACACTGACAGATACACACTGACAGACATAGATACACACTGACAGACACACTGACAGACATACACACACACACACTGACAGACATAGATACACACACACTGACAGACATACACACACACACACTGACAGACATAGATACACACACACTGACAGACATGGATACACACACACACACTGACAGACATAGATACACACACACTGACAGACATACACACACACACACTGACAGAGATAGATACACACACACACACACACTGACAGACACAGATACACACACACCATGACATATTACACACACACTGGATAGATACACACCGGACAGACACACATGATACACACACTGACAGACACACCTGACAGACATACACACACACACACTGACAGACATAGATACACACACTGACACACACACACACACACACACTGACAGACATAGGATACACACACACTGACAGACATACACACACACACACTGACAGACATGGATACACACACACACACTGACAGACATAGATACACACACACTGACAGACATACACACACACACACTGACAGAGATAGATACACACACACACTGACAGACATACACACACACTGACAGATACACACTGACAGACATAGATACACACTGACAGACACACTGACAGACATACACACACACACACTGACAGACATAGATACACACACACACTGACAGACATACACACACACACTGACAGACATAGATACACACTGACAGACACACTGACAGACATACACACACACACACTGACAGACATAGATACACACACACACACACTGACCAACAGGTTCAGGAGGGGGGCTTACCTGCGATCCAAAGTGCTGCCTGAGGTAGTTGGGAGTTGGAGGAGCTGGTCCTGCCCAGCCCCTTCCTCTCTGCCTTTTGCTGCTGTAGTCTTCTTGGGAGGACTTCCTCCCATGCTGATTAGAAGGGGGCCAGTGGTAGCTCCGCCCATGCTGGGCGCCAGCCGCGCTGTGTGCTTCAGTGGGAGCAGGGATATGACGTTCATATCCCCGCCCCCTCCACACAGTCCGCGGCACTGCAGGGTGGCGCTCGGCCACGCTACAAGAAGTGACCGGCAGGAGAGGGGCGCTGTGCGCTTCTCTCCTGCCGGCCACCCGGACATTTGCGCCCCCGGGCCGGTGCGCCCTAAGGCGGCCGCCTGTGCCGCCTTATGGACGCGCCGGCCCTGCTGACCTGAAAAGTCACGGAGTTGGCGAGTAAAAGCATTAAACTGGCCATATAATTTTTATAAAATTTCCTGTAATCAGAAGGTTCAAAAAGACTGTTGTCAATAGCAGTTGGATGAAATGCCAATGTGAGCACTTGCATAAAACCAAGGAATTCCAATGAAAGATAACACAATTATGACTAAGTGTGTCCTCTTCCGCAGATTTCGAACGTTCTCTTATTTCACATCTAAACATATGGAGTGCTGGAGGTCCCTCAAAAAATTTGGACCTTTTCCAGCACCAAAAGCTTGAAATACTACCATCTTTATATTTGTCCATACATGTTTTGATGGCTGTTAAGCTTTGTATTGCCATAAAATGGAGACAGAATGAACCTCCCTCCTTAATAATAATAATAATAATAAACAATTTTGCTACTTACAATAAGAAATGGAGAAATTGGTTCGACTACTATAAAGAATACATGTTTACCTTTCAGTAAAATAAACCCCTGCATAGATGCATTTATTAGTTAAAGGACCACTATAGTGCCAGGAAAACATACTCATTTTCCTGGCACTATAGTGCCCTGAGGGTGCCCCCACCCTCAGGGACCCTCCCTTCAGCCTGAAGGGGAAAAGGGGAAAACGCATCTTCCTGCTTCGGGCTTAGAGCTCCTCCTCTCCTCCGTTTCCAAGTTTCGTCGTATTGAATGGCGCGACGCTGCACAGCTGCGCTACAAGATTCAGTCGTCGTGATAGGAAAGCATTTACAATGCCTTGCGGACGCTGGAGCGCGCGTTCCTCACTGTGAAAATCACAGTGAGAAGTTATACTTAGTTTTCTTGGGTGGCTGTCACTTATATGTTTCACTATTAGGGGTGTTTAACCTTATTATTAAAACATAGCAGTTTCTCTGAAACTGCTATGTTTATTAAAAAATGGGTTAACCCTAGAAGGACCTGGCACCCAGACCACTTCATTAAGCTGAAGTGGTCTGGGTGCCTAGAGTGGTCCTTTAAATCGTTAATGATATTACCCTGAAGGTGGTTCTGGGCTGCATTAATATATTAAAGAAATAATACCGTATATGAAATATGATGCACTGCTGTTTTCTGTTTATTCCTTAACTCAGCTCTCACCATAGGTTTCATTAGACCATCTTTCAAAGTCAATGTAACATGTTTAAGTACTAGCCCCAGTGAAGTAAAAAATAAAATACATAAATCCTGGAATGTTTCTAAATCATAAGGACTGGTTTGGAAACCACTGCTCTAGTGGGTGTATATGTATATGTCTTTGTCCTTACACTAGAATGAGTTTGTGCATGAGTATGTCTGCATATATGTTCTAATCGCATGTTTCTGTCTGCACGGATGTTATCTCTGTGTATATTTATCTCTACGTGCACGTGTCTGGATGTGTGTCTCTTGCATTAGTGTGTCTACATTTGTGACTGTGCCTTAGTAAGACTGTATAGAATGTTAATCATATTAGCTATATTTGCTTTCAAAATTACAGCATACAAAACAAAAATAGAACCAAACAAAAAATAGAACCTGTAATAGCAACATTCAAGCAATAAGTTTCACATTTGCATTCAATAATTTTAAATTGGCATAGCTACTTTCAGGGGTCTGTGGTAGCAATAATGTCAGATCCCTGCTTTGTGTGCAGTGGCCAGGGATCAAAGCTAAAGGTGGAAATATTTACTTGAAGTTCCCCCTTGTGAGCACCACCATGTTCTTTCTTCTCCTGTGCACTCGAACATGGGCGTCCCCTCCCCCTGGATTTTTCAGCTTGTTCTGCTATTTTGTGTGATATAAAATGAACTGCAATACCGGCGCCGGCCAGTAGGTGGCGCTGTGTATGTAGAGACAGGGATAGGAAGCTGCATCTTATCCCTGCTTCTCTCTGCTGATTGAAACCGCAGGGGAGCAACACATGCAGCCAGAGACAGCCTACAGATCAGGTAAGTGAGGGATGGGGGGAGGGTTTGAGAGGGGGCAGCAGCCCATAGATTTAGGGGCAGAAGCCCATAGATTTGGGGAGGGGGGCAGCAGCCTATAGATTTGGGGGCAGCAGCCCATAGATTTGGGAGGGGCAGCAGCCCATAGATTTGGGAGGGCAGCAGCCTATAGATTTGGGGGGGCAGCAGCCTTTAGATTTGGGGGGGCAGCAGCCCATAGATTTGGGGAGGGGGCAGCAGCCTATAGATTTGAGGCAGCAGCAGCCTTAGATTTGAGGGCAGCCTAGATTTAGCAGCCCATAGATTTGGGGGGCAGCAGCCCATAGATTTGGGCAGCAGCCTAGATTTAAGGCAGCCCATATATTTGAGGAAGGGGCAGCCTTTGGATTTGGGGGCAGCCCAAGGATTTGTAAAGCAAGCCCATAGATTTCGGAGGGCAGCAGCCCATAGATTTGGGGCAGCAGCCTTTAGATTTGGGGGCAGCAGCCCATAGATTTGGGGAGGGGGGCAGCAGCCTATAGATTTGGGAGGGCAGCAGCCTTTAGATTTGGGGGGCAGCAGCCCATAGATTTGGGGAGGGGGGCAGCAGCCCATAGATTTGGGGAGGGGGGCAGCAGCCCATAGATTTTAGGGGGCAGCAGCCTATAGATTTGGGGAGGGGGGCAGCAGCCTATAGATATGTAGAAATGAACAGGAAGGGTCAGCAAGGAGCTGGAAGGTAAAGCAGCACAAAGGTAAAATAGAAGGAGCAGAAAGGGTCAGAAATGAGCTGGAAGGGGCAGAAGGAGCACAAACATAAAGTAGGAGAATGAGCAGGAAGGGCCTGCAAGGAGCAGGAAGGAGCACAAAGGGACAGCAAGGAGCACAAAGGTAAAGGAGCAGAAAGAATCAGAAGGAGCACAAAGGTAAAGTAGGAGAAAGAGCAGAAAGGGACAGCAAGGAGCACAAAGGTAAAGTAGAAAAGGGAGCAGAAAGGGTCTGCAAGGAGCAGAAAGGGATCAGAATGAGAAAGGAGCAGAAGGGCGCAAAATAAGCAGAAAGTAGCAGAAAGGTAAAAGAGCAGAAGGGGCCAAGGATAGAAAACAGTGTCAGAAGAAAAAAAAAGACTGTCAAATGAAGGAGAGGAAAAGGAGATTGGAGCAGGAAGGACAAATGAAGTGAACCCTCCACTTTATTCTGGACACCACATCATAAGGCTTTGGTACCTGGGCCTGGCAGGGAAACGCTGGACCTTCTCATCTCCAAAGGTAAAAAAATATCAGGTATTAATGTGTTCACTTTTATTTACTGAGTGTCAGGAAGCACAGAGTGCCGTTGGGTAGGGGTGTTGCTGATTGGCTAGAGCGGTCAGCTGGCACTCTAAGCCAATCAGTAGCTCCCCATTCATAAAAAAGTAAAAACATTTTATGAACTGGGAACTAGCGATTGGCTTAGAGCGTCAACTGACCACTCTAGCCAATCAGCGGCACCCATGCCTGACGTCAATCTGCACTTCCTGACACTCTGTTTCAGAAGCCAAATACCTTTGAGCGACCTGGAGCTGGAGGAAGCCTTTGGGGTTAAACCATTTGAGAGTGATTTAACCCCTTAAAGGAAAGCGAGCACCCAGGGGCTTCCTGGCATCATAGCATTTTCATTTAGGTGAGGTTGTTATGGTGACCAGAATGGTCCTTTAATTTGCTTAAAGGAAGACTATAGTGTCAGGAATACAAACATATATTCCTGACACCATAGTTGTGAAAACGCTATTCACCCTGGCTTTATGTGATAATGGCTATGCCCCTTCCCTTTCATGACACTGTCAAAAAGGTACCAAGCATGGATGTCATAACAATTATGTCCCCAAATTATGTCCCCCCCCCCCGGAAAAATTCCTGCAGACGCCCATGCACTCGGATCAGATTCCCTTTTGGTTTACCGCCCCATCCCCCCACTCAGGGTAATTGGAAAATGGCCATAAAAGCATACATTTGAGGAGAGTATCTCGAAGCAATTTAAGCAGTAAGTATTGCAGTTAGCATGCTTATCTTGCATGTTAACATTAGAGAAGGAAACCAAGAGGGCTGCACTCACCTGAACAGGCTTACATTATAAGTGTGCTGCTTGGGCAAATTCATACACTGCACCACAGGGAGGTGAGTGTTTGCATGTTTGTCAGTGAGTGAGTGTCTGTGAGTGTGTGTGTGTGTGTGTCTGTCAGCGAGTGTCTGTGTGAGTGTATGTCTGTT